TTATATCATAAGGCGGCAAACGAGCAAGCGGCCACCTGTAATCGCTGAAATAGCGAAGTGACCGTTGCCTGTAGACATACGCAATTGCATATGCGTTGCCTACCTTTAATCGACGGAGAAGAGGATGCACAGAAAGAAAAAAAAATCCCTTTCCATGCATCCTCTCATCTGGAAAGTCCACTTCCTCTTCCCATCCTTTCCTTATAAGAAAAAGGGTGGGAAGGAAAAGAGGACTAAATTAGGCTACCGGGACGCACACTCATCAGACGAAACGCGGAATTGCTTCCACTTGACGCCTGTCTTCTGTGTGGTCGTGGTACTTCACCGGGCGAGCCGGGCCAATTCGTGCGAAGATGTTAAAGATGTAAAGGCAATCAAAAGAAAACTGTTGAATAAGAAATAAAATTGAAATGAAATTAATATTACAAATAACTTTTATAATCTATAAACATTTAAACACAGCAATAAACGTTGAATTTATAGCGTAAAATTCTACGTAATGTACTAAATTTCAGTATAAAACCGCTTACAAAACTCACATTTCTTACACAAAGCAGCGGTTTAAAGCGTAGCGTGAATTGAGTTCGGTCTACACATTCGAGACCTTAATCTTAGTTCTAGTTAAGAACACAGCCATAGCTAATTGAAACTATTTCTAGAGAGTTCTAACGCTTCCTTTTGATCTTGCTTCGAGTGAATCCGGCCGAACTTAAAGCTTTACGAGACAGACTTTAGTGAATTACGATTCAAAGTTTTCCGCTTACAATTTCCATGAAGGAAAATATCCCTTACTTAACTGTTACTGACTACAATAAAGCACGTAAAGCTTTCGTGAGCTTCAGACTTTAGCCAATAAAGCATTTACTTTTTTATACTAAACGATTACAAATTATATCCATCCAAATAAATACAATATTTTAATAGTTAGGTTTAATATTTCATAATTTATTAAGTTAAGTATAAAGGCTTAAAACAAACTGATTGTCTTAAAATATCGTTAAATAGTACTTTAATTACTAGTATTAGTAGTAGTACTATGTTTCAATATTTTGTTTAAAATAAGACAATATGTTTTTGCTTAGATGTAAAGTGTAGAGCGAGAACGTTTCAGTTCGTACGTACGAGAATCTAGTTAGCGTTTATGATCGTTGTGGAGGTGTAATCACCACTTTTGTTATGTTTACATCTTGATATTATCCTCTAAATTTTTAGTAAAAGGTGAATTTACGAATACAGGTGAAAGTCATAATGGTATTGTGCAGTATTAGCAAATAATCTTACTTCTTTCTAATCTTACTCTTACTAATATTATAAATACGAAAGTTTAGATGTGTGATCAGTCTCGATGAAATTTGGCATAGATGTAGAACATAATCTAGAAGAATATACTGTTAGGAAGAAAATCCGAAAAATTGGCAGTGTATTGACCCAACACTAGAATTACTAACATATCCACGTTTGTGTCCCCTCACTATTCATTGACACTGGACTTTGTAATGAAAGCACTTCATTTGCGCCAAAGGATTCTTACTAATAATGTCTAAAACTACTTATTAAGATTTTTTTTAATTTTCTACGAACGAAGTTTCAGGTAAACATGGCTTCATTAAATAGGACAGAAAATGTTATACTACGTTCACATGATTTACAACTTTATTATACTATGGCCTCATCCTCACACCTAACTTAGTGCAGGCTCCATGCCCCTTGGCGGGGACGTATAGTGAGCTGATGATGATGATAACTTCATTTTATTTTATAAATAGGCGAGAAATTGCAATGAAATATTTAAAAAACTTTAATCGTTTTCTTGCGATATGATTACAAAGACCTCTCTTAGTTTCGCTTACGAGGGAGGTTCCAGTGACGGTGTTTAATTATTGCTCTGCCCTCAATACTGGTGTCTGGAACACAACTCGTGGAAACACATTAATAATTTTCAATGCTTTGCAGTGACCAGAGCGCATTGCGGTAAAATAAGACTTTGTATGAAACGTAAAAAAAACACTGAAGTGGATTACAAGCTCCAATTTGAGGTAAGAAAAAAGCAGTTATATGGTAACATTCATATTTAATTTTACGACGGCCAGGCACTCTCACTTATTACCGCAGTTCTGTCTTTGTAACAAAAAAATGACCTCTCACGCGGATATAAGTTTCGAGACTTATAATAATTCTTTAATCCATTTTGTTTCCGTGATTATTTATGAAACGTGAAACTGTATTGTTTTATTATTTAAAGACGTTTTATTAAATTTATTTATTTGGGATTTAAACTTTAAGATTTTGATGTTATGATTGTTGTTTCTACTCTTTTTACCCGACTGGAAAGAGAGTATGTAATATTTTTATATGTATTTATATCTGTTGTACAAAATAGAGCTTAAAAGAAATAACAATATTTAAAACTAGGAATGAATAAACAGTCATGCTTATTGATTTTCAATTAATATATAACACTAGCTGTCGCCCGCAACTCCATCCGTAATAAAAAAAAAACTTAATTAGTAACCTGTGTTTTTCCAGACTATGCTCTACTTGCCGAATTTCAGCAAGATTCCGTTCTAGGAATACCTACTAATAAACACACATCCAAACATTCTCATTTAAAACATTAGTAAGATTTTCATAATTGGCTTAAAAATAAAGGTTTAAAGGAGAAATCCTAAGTATAAACACGTACGTTATAAGTTGAAATAACTTACTAAAGTCACGTGCACGGGAAATTTCAAAGTTACATTTTGTCGTGTAAGAATTGAACGGATATGTCGCATGGAACAATCATCATTAATCTTTGCGATTCATTTTTCTTATTACAATATTTTGATGTTTTAATTACATGAATGATGTCATCATTAATTTAAGCATTAATTATGTTAAATAGAGAATTAGTAAAATATTAACTTCTCCTTTGTAAAGTTGAACATACACTGGCCACAATGATTTTTTTTTCTTTTTACTAGTTGCCGCCCACGAGTCTGTCCGCGCGGGAAAAAAATTAGCAGCCTATATCTTCCAGTCTATGTTCTACATGTATGCCAGATCTCTCTCCATACATCCATCCAAACATTCGCATTTATAATATTAGTAATATTTCAAACATTAAACATAATTTCCGTAAAACCATTTTTGTGTATATAAGTTCTATATTATGTTTACCAAAAAGAACTTATGTATATAACTTATTTATTTGAAGATGCTAAAATACATAACATTTTCAAAACAGGTGTAACTACTTGAATATCGCTTAGTCGTTCTGTTTTCATGAAGTGCTTTAGATTTTCAGCGCTCGGTTGCTGTTTTAAAAATTAACTACCAAAAGCCAAAACACCGCTCAAGCTTGGAGCACTCTAATAAAAATAACTATTTTTTTTTGTTCAAATTTAACACGACACTATATAATTGCAAGATAACAAAAACAAGTATCAGCCAAAATAAAAATTACGAAAATTTATTGCTATAACATAACATGATACGATTTTAGGAATTTTTACCGTGGGTTTCTGAGTAAAAAATTTATTTTGAACTCTATTTAATACCCTATCCATATGACTTGAACGTAATAATTAAGGTTAGGGTTGGTTGTATTGGTAGGTGGCTACTGGTTAAGGGTATGGATTTTGTATCACTAGGTAGGGGTTCGAATCCCGCCATTCAACTATTGTCATCAACCTAAGCATATAGCTTAGTTGGAATGATACAAAAAAGAATAGTAAATTAACAAAAATCTGCTAATATTTTATAAAAAAAATATATATCGATAGAAAGTAGTAAATCTTTTGATCAATATTTTTTAATAATATATATTCCGGTCCATGACCATCAAAGACAGAGAAAATGCTTAGTCCATACAAAATTATCACGATTTCAGAAATTAAATAAGATTATTCCACACGAAAATCGAAATTCTTCCAACCTTGTACATATTTCTCGAACAATTCACTGTTACAAGGGTTCTTTACTCAAACACGGAACCATAATCACCTTTTGTGTATGAACACTAAGCTTGTTAATTGAAAATGAGCCACATGCTCTTATATTCAAGGTTGCTATTTGTGTAATGGGTAATTTGTTTGACGTTGTACTAACGAGGGTCAGTACCCACTCTATTTATTCGCATCAACATCGCCTGGATAAACACGCTTCAATGCGCAGACATATATTCTAACATTAATAAATATTACTAAAAATAAGGACTTCATGGAAAATATTTCCTGAAATATTCCTAGAAATATCCCGCTTCATTTTTTATATTCCAGTTTTTGCACCTCTATGTACAAATTCTTGTAATGTATATAGATATTACAATCGATCAGAAATGGCTAGATTGAGAAACAATTAGCAAACGCTATAGTTAAAAATATCGTGACATAACATGAGAATTTTTAGTTTGGTTAAGTAGGGGGTTTTGACATTTTTTTAATTTACTAATATTTCTTTTACCATTCCAACTAAGCTCGATGCTTGGTAGTAGTAGGATATGGTTCACGACAATAGTCGAATGTCGGGATTCAAGCCCCCGGCCAAATCGGTAATCCGTACCCTATTATTAAGCTATTGAAGCTTAAATAGAAAGTTTTTTACATATTTAGAACAGAACAGAACAGAACAGAACAGAACGGAACGGAACGGAACGGAACGGAACGGAACGGAACGGAACGGAACGGAACGGAACGGAACGGAACGGAACGGAACGGAACGGAACAGAACAGAACCGAACCGACCGAACCGAACAGAACAGAACAGAACAGAATAGAATATTTATTTATTGCCACAAACAACCAAAAAAGATTAAATAAATTAAGGATGTGGCAAAAAAGGTGGCCAGCTCAGCTGGTGCAGGGAGAGCTTGAGCATTCCTGCGCTGGTTTTCAGCTGGACCCTTTGTCCACACCATTTACACAACACGAGGTAGGGTAACAAAAAATAAAAACAGATAAAACGAAAAAAAAAGCAAAAATTCAATTTACTTTTCAAATGAAGATGTAATGTAAACTTACTTGGGTTGACCGCTAGGCCCTCTTCCAAAACGTTCATCGAAAGATGAATAAGCACCAGTAATGTCGCAGAAACCTGTAAAACAAACGCTTTAGTAAGTAAAAGATTACATAAGTATTATTTCTAAAATAATTAGTATAAGTATATTTATTATATTAACACATAATATCTTAATTAGCTTATAATCTCTCACGAAAGTTTTAACTATGTAAGCACTGCTTTTATTAATTTTCAATAAGCTTTGATCTGATGCGATAAAATTATTGTTGTTTTATTTCCGATTAATTTATTACTGAAAATTTCAAAACATTACTAAATCTGCAAGAGTAAATTAAACAATAATTTAGAATTTAATGTACTGTTAGGAAGAAAATCCGACACTGTGCCGGTGTATTGGCACAACCCTGGCCTTACTAAAATGTCGACGTTTATGTCCCCTCACTAATCATTCTGACATTTGACTTTGTAATGGAAGTGCCCCATTCGCGCCAAAGGATTGTAAGTAATAATGTCTAAAAGTACCAAAATATATTTTTTTTTCATTTTGAAAACCATTTTCATAAGCTATAATTTTTAAGAACTTTCTTTTAAAGATTTCAGTATCCATCATAATTATGTGTATTACTGTTTACTGGATAAAATTTCAGCTAAGTATGTATTAATCTTCCCGACACCTTTCCTTACTTCTGGAGTCTCGCCACGTAAAAAATGCCAGGCGAGCACTTGGCGATGCTGCACCAAATTGCATTAAAATTGCTCTTTGTGTCCGACGCCGCGGCGAAATGAAAAATTAGATTGTTACCTTAGATGCCCGTAAACTTATTATAGTAAATAATGTTGCTATTTTAATAAAAACAATTAATCTTAAAACAATTACATAGAACAAAGCTATCTTTATACTAGGTTACCAATAAATGCATATTTTTTCAAAATAAATAGTTTTCCATAGTATTTGAACCCCATTAAGACAAACACTGTTTAATCGCCTGTGGCAATACAATCCTACAAATTAAAGGAATCAGAATTTAGCGCCGTAAACTTTGATTTTAGGTATTCTAAATAAATCTCACTTGATACGTTATACAATTTTATATTGTTTGTTTTCCTACTCGAATACAAACTCGCCATGAACATGGACGCCGATCCGAAATATGTAGGCGCCTCTGGAAAATTAGACGTGTTACCAGTATATCAATTAGTTTAAAATAATAACAATCAAAACAAAAGTGTTGCATTATATTTTACAATCCAGTAAATAGTAAACAAAACAGTCCTGCGATAATGCTCTCTTCAATGCCGCGCCGCGTCGCCTGTGGACAGGGCTTGAAAAACAGCGGCCGGATTTTCCCTCGCTTACACTAACAATCCCAAGTCACGTTGTGAATTAGTATTTTCATTTAAATTAAGTTGTCGCTCTTTCTATCTTTAAATTAAACCGTTGATGCTAAAATAAAAAAGATGTTTTTACTAAAATATCTATCCACATGCAAGGAACAATAGCTTTTTGAATAGTTATGTTTTTTCAATTTTATTTTCTTTGAATTATTAAAACTTTCGAAATCCCTGCAGTCCAGAACAGCAATAAATCCCCTAATCCACTCACCCTGAAGAAGAACCTTAAACGGATCTGAAATTATTCGTAACCTAGACAGAAATAAAAATAAAAGCGTGATATTTAATTAGTGATTTTTTTAACGAATCAATAATTCTACGAACTGGGTACCTTTACCACTTCGACACTCAGGAAAAGAATACGAACCATATCTTCATTGGTCATCACAAAATTGGTCAAACGACAGTAGATTACATTGGAACAAAAGTAAAGTAATACAATGTAAAAAATACATTTCCTCTAAGTTTAAATTGAGCAACGGTGGCTCAGGGGTGGCACTTGACTTACAATCCAGGTCCTGGGTTCGAATACAATTCCAACCAATATGTTTTTCGTATTCCGATTTACATATGTACGATCCGACGTTCTTACGGTGAAGGAAAACAACGTGATGCAACCTGCACATATCTGAGAAGAAATTCAAATATTTGTGTGAAGTCAACCAACCCGCACTGGGCAAGCGTGGTTGACTATGACCTAGTCATCCTTGATTTAGGGTAGACTCCGAGCCTCACGATGGGGACATATAGTAAGCTGATGATGATTAATTTTGAATTTACTCTCCTAATTAACAGTTTTTGTAAATCATAATTTAAATTTTAAACTGTAGACTTGATTGGGTACATTTAATTAAGTCATCGTTATCGAAAGAATTAATCAGTTGGAATAGTAGCGTCCGAGAGCGCTCCGTCTCAATTAAACAAGATCGACGTCTATTTCCCCAGTGCACTGTAACCGTTATTCATTATTCACTGAATATTGAACGTCGCTGTTAACCCCTAGAGGAAGGTGACGTCATAATATTACGTAAATTAATAATATGATCATAAGTAATCAATATACTTAAAATTAATATTACTAGTATATTATAAATGCGAAAGGTGATGGAAAGATGGAAGGATGGATGGATGTTTGTTAGAAGGTATGTCTAAAATGGCGGCATGGATCTCGCTGATAGCATAGATGTAGAGCATAGTCTGGAAGAACACATTGGCTACTAATTATGTTTTTCAATTGTACAAGGACAAAGTTACGGGCAAAAGCTAGTTACTTAAATAAACCAATATAAATGTTAGTTGGGTACTATGTTTTTGATAATAAAGCGGTTTTGTGCAAGCGGTCACGTGAATTCGCAGATGCCTACTTTAAATTGACGGAGGTAGCGACGCATAGAAAAAGAACATTTCCCCTTCCCATTTCTTCCCTCTTTCGTCAAATCCACTTCATCTTCCTATCCATTTATTATATTGCAAGTGTGGGAAGGGAAAGAGGACTACAGTTAGGCCCACGGCACGGGACGGCAATCATGCAAGCGGATTAAGTTATGAACATAAGAAACTAAAAAGAATGCTAGACAAGGTAGGACCAACATTGAGTGTGTTTACGGCCCATAAAATGAAATACGGTTTATTAAAAATACTTATATCGTTAATTAAAATATGTATACTATAAATCAAAAAAGAATTTGTCTGAACCAAAACTTTACATGAAAATTGAATTTTAAATTTCACGTTTAGGTTCCTTTTAAATTCTCCAACAGTATGGCTACGGTTACTCAAGAAAAGTTGTAACACAATTTAGTATAAAATGTTCTAACATATAAAGAATGAAATTTTTCAGCGACGAACATGCGACAACTTGTAACAAAGTTTAACTTAGAGCTTTGTTTAAAAATTTTCTTTCGATATCGTAAAGAAAATTACTTTGAAACTTTCAAATTAATGATATATTCATCAAATTATATATTAAATTTTACATCGTTTTTAAGATTAATTTGGGATCAAAATATTATATAAGTTGTAAGTTTTATCATGATTTAATTGTTGGCAAATATTGCACAAATTTATATTTAAAGTATTCAACTACATATATCAAATTCCTTTACCTTTGAACTAATGACTAATTAAATCTAGTGCCCTATATTGTAGTTGATCCTGAACATTTTTTTTTCAAAAGTAATTGAACTGCAGTTGCGGCCTAGAAGATAGGTATTTACGATCTCACGGTTTCGTGTCTAAATTGCCGGCTTATTCAGATGAACGTTCATTTTTTTAAATTTCTCGAATACATAAATAATTTGAGTCTGAAATCAAGTTACAATTAAAGCTAAGTAATTGACTAAACCATATAAAAATAGATATCAAAGACAACCTAAAGTTTAATCTGTAGGTAAATTTTGCGTACTCCAAAATATACACGGTTATTTTTTAATTGCAAGAAGAAAAAATCAGGTAATTTAAAATATATATAATAAAGTAACTAATTAAAATTTAAATAAATTCTTGTTAAAAAATTGAAACTATACTTTTAAAATCAAAAAATACGAGTCATTTTATAAATGAAAAATGGCTTGGCCCTAATGGGGTAAATGATTAGAGCGGGAAGTAGGCAAATGTCTTTGCGGCTTTTTAAAAATAGAATGTGTGGAAACTATTATTCCAAGCGTTATATTTGAATGCGCACACGCTCACGAACATTGTAATCGACCTTTAGACGTTATTAGTTAGAAACACTTGGCGCGAATGACCTGCAATCGTTACAAAGTCCAGTGTCAGAATCAATAGTGAGGGGACACAAACGTCGACATTTTATTAAGATTACGGTTGGGTCAATACACTGGCACATTTTTGATTTTCTTCCTAACATTACCTAGGTTTTTTGTAATATACTTTTTAAAAAGACGATCGAACCGAAAACTGCATAATATGTGCCGTAATTGTATACTAACAAAGATAATAAATGAACAAACCCATTGACAGTTCCACACTCTGGCTGATTTATGATAAAGGGAAATCTCGAAGATATTTGATGTTTATCTAACGATGTACTGCATTCACAAATTGTTTGCGCAGAGGGCTATAAGTGGCCAACATTTGTTCAAATTGAATAAAGGAAGAAAGGAAATAATAATGTTTTTGTTAGTAATACAATAATATTGCACATAAATGGAGACGATAAAATAATTGTACGTTCTATCATTTCGTTAATATTCTATTTTACTAAATCTTTTGTATCATTAAATTATTTTTAAAAGTATTTCACATATCGTGGGATTCTGAGACCGCAATCCCCATTTAAAAAACATTGTTATCTCTATTGTCAAAGACGGACAGGAATATCTATATTGTATATAATAGTTTAGGCCTCAGAAACCCACGGATAATAATACATTTGTTTGTGTATAGTGTTAGATTTAGAGCATTTCAAAAATCTTAATATGAAACTCAACTCTGATATACTAACCAACAAATAAATTTTTGAATCACATATATACCTAACACCACAAAATCCCCAATCGGAAAAACAATCTCGACTCCGATTTTCGTAGTAGACATTTATGTCGTTTCTGTTGACGTACGCATAACGAAGTTCAATCAAAATATTTTAGTAGCACTTGTGATAAATATTTATTACGTTCTTAGTTGGAAGTAATAAAATGACTTAAGACGCCGAATATTCAACG